GGCAGCCGATCAACGCGAGGATGTGCAAGTTGAGGATTAAGGGTCGTTTCTTCAACTACAGATCAACGTGCACTGCCCACATGAAGGGAGACCCGACGATGAGAAAGAAGCGTTCTATGCGCAGCTGGAGCAGGTGTACGACGGCTGTTCGCAACGGGACGTCAAAATCGTCATCGGCGACATGAACGCTCAGGTTGGATGGGAGGCAATGTATAGACCGGCAATCGGGCCAAACAGCCTGCATGCCGTATCGAACGACAACGGCCAACGATGCGTGAACTTTGCAGCCTCCCGGGGTATGGTAGTTCGAAGTACCTTTTTCCACCGCAAGAATATCCACGAACCCCCCTGGAGATCACCTGACCAACACACAGAAAACCAAATCGATCACGTTCTAATCGACGGGAAATTCTTCTCCGACATTATCAACGTCCGCACGTACCGCAGTGCGAACATAGATTCGGACCACTACCTAGTTGCAGTATGCATGCGCTCAAAACTCTCGACGGTGCATAACACACGTCGAAGTCGAACGCCACGACCCAACATTGAGCAACTACGGGACACCGGAGTTGCCCAGGACTACGCGCAGCAGCTGGAAGTTGCACAACCCACGGAAGAGCAGCTTGGCGCAGCTTCTCTTGAAGATGGCTGGAGGGAAATCCGTTCCGCCATAGGTAGTACTGCTGCAGCGGCACTAGGTACTGCAATCCCGGACCGAAGAAATGACTGGTTTGACGGTGAATGCAAACTGTTAGTAGAGGAGAAGAATGCAGCACGGGCGAGAATGCTGCAACACCGCACGAGATTGAATGTGGAGCGATACAGACAAAATTCGGTTTTCCGCAGGAAGAAGCGTCAGCAGGAAGACCGAGATCGCGAGGCGATGGAAAATATGTACCGCGTAAACGATACACGGAAGTTCTATGAGAAGCTAAATAGTTTGCGCAAAGGCTACGTGCTGCAAGTCGATATGTGCAAGGACTTGGACGGTAACCTTCTCACGAACGAGTGTGAGGTGAGTGAGAGGTGGAAGCAGTACTATGACGAGCACCTCAACGGTGAAGCAGCAGAAAACGAAGGTGGCACGGCAACAGACCTTGGAGCACGCGCAGAAGATGACAGGCTACCGGCCCCTGATCTTCAAGAAGTTGAGGAGGAGATCGGTCGGCTGAAGAACAACAAAGCAACTGGTGTAGATCTACTACCAAGTGAGCTATTAAAATACGGTGGTGAAGCACTGGCTAGAGCGCTGCACTGGGTAATTGCCAAGATTTGGGAGGAGGAGATATTACAGGAGTAGTGGATGGAAGGTGTCGTATTCCCAATCTACAAAAAGGGTGACAAGTTGGATTGCTGCAACTACCGCGCGATCACACCGCTGGTATAGGGTACTCTCCCAAATTCTATGCCGCCGCCTGTCACCATTTGCAAGAGAGTTCGTAAGGCAATACCAGGCGGGATTCATGGGTGCCTGCGCTACCACGGACCAAATTATCGCGATTCGGCAGGTTCTGCAGAAATGCCGTGAATACAACGTGCCTCACACATCATTTGTTCATCGATTTCAAATCCGCATACGACACAATCGATCGAGATCAGCTATGGCAGATTATGCACGAGTACGGATTTCCGGATCAACTGACGCGATTGGTCAAGGCGACGATGGATAGAGTGATGTGCGTTGTTCGAGTATCGGGGACACTCTCGAGTCCCTTTGAATCTCGAAGGGGGTTTCGTGTCTGCTATTCAACTTCGCGTTAGAAGGTGTGATCAGAAGAACTAGGATAGACACGAGTGGCACGATCTTCAGGAAGTTCACCCAGCTTCTTGGCTTCGCCGATGACATTGACATCATGGCACGGAACTTTGAGACGATGGGGGAAACGTACATCAGATTGAAGGCTGAAGCTAGGCGGATTGGACGTGCCATCAACGCATCAAAGACAAAATACATGAAAGGAAGAGGTTCTAGGGAAGACAATGTTAGCCTCCCACCCCGAGTTCAGATTGATGGTGACGAAATCGAGGTGGTCGATGAGTTCGTGTATTTGGGCTCACTGGGTGACCGCCGAAAATGATACCAGCAGAGAAATTCAAAGACGCATTATGGCAGGGAATCGTGCCTACTTTGGACTCCGGAGACGCTGATTAGACCGGTGGTCCTCTACGGCCACGAGACCTGGACTATGCTCGTGGAAGAGCAACGCGCTTTTGGTGCTTTCGAATGGAAGGTGTTGCATACCATCTACGGTGGAGTGCAGATGGATGACGGAACGTGGAGGAGGCGAAAGAACCACTAATTGCACCAGCTGCTGGGAGAACCATTCATCGTCCACATTGCAAAATTGGGCGACTACGGTGGGCTGGGCACGTCGTAAGAATGCTGCACGACGACCCAGTGAAAATGGTTCTAGAAAGTGACCCAACAGCCTATTATTATTAAACGTTATTTTTTTTACCGAAAATTATGTTTTTTTCTCCCTGTTTTATAGGTTTTGGCAGTGTGTATTGCAGGCATAAGAGATGTATGATATCGTAACACGCATACGGATTCTTAGATTTCGGTCCCGCACAGTACCACGGAGAAAAATTTAACAAAGATTTTTAAGGTGTTATCTAATATGCGGGAAATCAGATATTTTATTTTCCATTTCTTAAGCACCCATAAGAAAAATCACCTCTTCTTTTTGAATTCAGCGCAACTCAGCAGCAGCGGGAGGAAGCAGAGGAGATGCCTGCTAGAGGAACGGGAGGGATGCCGAGGGATGCTGACAACTAGAATAGTCAAAACAAACAATATATCAGTGTGATTATGCTTGATCCGGTTTGTAATTCAGAATCAACAGTTGAAATGGCCTCATCAGCTATTGTAAACAAAACTGATGCCTTTTTTCGTGAGTCGGAGCTCACCTACGCATACCACCAACGCTATCAGATAGGAGAAGCTTTCACAGATTTAAACAGGTGAGCTCCGATCCACGAGAAAAGGCCGCAAGATGTTTTGTGTACAAAAGCCGATGAGGTCTTTTCAATCTTTAATCTTCAATTCATTTTACTCACCTCACTGATTGACTCTCGTTTGGTCCCTGGTTTCCGCAAGCCAGCTCTCAGCGACTTTTCGGAAGGATTGCAGCAGGAGCAGGAACAAGCTGGTAAAAAATAAAGTAAATATTTGAAAACCCACTGTACTCATAATATTATTTAAAAAATAACGTTATTTATCGGTAAATATTATCTGTATTCTGGGTTTTAGTATCAAAACCTAACTTTAGGTAAAACCACAGACAAACAGACATAACTCTCGAAAGTTGTTCATCGAACAAGCATTTAACGGTAAATTCAAAAGTATCGTAGTTGATAATACCGTCACCTGTGGCGTGCATGATCAATTCCCTTGTGTTTGACGTTTACACACTACCACCATCTGTTCAGCGTACTACCAACAATCAATACGAAACTAACGATTTTAAATTGGCTCACTACTTGACTAGCCTATTGGTCCCAAGCAAACGATTAACGTATCCCATTCTAGTCGAAATTCTAGTACTACGCAATGTTTGTTTTGATTCGCTATGAAAGTTCGACAGATAAAATGAGGGGTTATTGGTTTTTCCTATGTTTCGAGGGGTGAATCGATTAGCTTGGGACCGAAGATAGTACCAGAGCTGAGCCAAAAATTTGAGCACATTATTTCGGGACCTTCTAGTCTTAGAGTTACCTCTATGGTACTACCCACCACAGTGTACTCAACAGGGGCTGTCCATAAACTACGTAGACAGTTTAGGGGGGGGGGGGGGGGGTTGACAATTATCCACGGCCCATACTAATTTTAATTTTTTTGTATGGACAATTGTCTACGCAGGGGGAGGGGGGGTCAAGAATCCCAAAAAAACTGTCTACTTAGTTTATGAACAGGCCCACAGATGGCGGTAATGTTTTAGCGACGATGTTTTACAGCGAGAAATATTCAATATGTTATGGTATCTTTGGTGGTAAAACTAAAACCTAATTTTAGGTAATCTTATCTACTTCTTCTTTCTCTGTCGGTCTCTGTTCCGCAATCTAGTGCCAATCACCGACGGCATCGATTGTCATCCATTGACGGCAATCGAATGTACAGGAAGGCAGCTTACACACCTGCGTAGGATTTTTTTTTTTTTTTAAATTCTTTATTTAAGAGATTTTTAGCCTTAGGCTAGTTCATCTCTAACCTGCGTAGGATATCGCACTCATTCAAACACAACAGATGGGCTGGGACCACCGGCTTTACTTCCCTCCCGAAGGAAGACGTGACCAGAGATTTTTATGCCTTTATCACCGACCTCGGCTAGGATTGGGGTGAGAAAGCAGTCACGCTTACCACTACATCACCGGCATCGGCTAGGTAATCTTATCTAAGCGTGCACTTCTGAAGTTGTGGGGTCGGTAAACAATATATACTGTGGTATTTTGAACAATTTTACCTGGTGTCTCACTTTCCGGCAGGTGCTTCCAAAAATTTAATATTTTGTAATCGAAGAATGGAACATATTTGTAGATCTTTGGCGAACATTTCAGCTCAATTGATAGTAAGTTAACAAAGTTACATCATGTCAAAGTTGACCATTTTGTATAAAAAATCGGCATTTGCTGTTATTTTATCGAACACAACTGTATGTTGCGCATTGGAGCCAGGCCTACTGTGCAGCGATTAAGGGGCAAGAGTATTCAGAAATATCTGGCTTGCTTAAATCAAAGATCAAACTAATGATGCTCGCTTTTTTAAATAAATATCCTATAAAAGTCGTCATCCCTGCTGATTTTCCAGCAAATCTGTCAGATATTCAAAGATGGTAATTAATGAGAGATTTTAAACCACGTGCAAAAAGTAGGATTAACTGATAAAAATGCTTATCACATTACAAAATTTAAAGTTTTTTTTTGGGAAAAATTTTAATTGGACCCAGCTCTATTTAGGTGAAAAGAATTTCGGATTTCAATTGTACACTGCAGACCGATTACTTTCCGGTAATACTTAAATTTATTTCACTAGACATTTAGCCATGTCTCATTGTTTTCGTTAAGATTAGTTCATAAAAGATGAGAATATATTTAAGATGGATGACTTGACACACATAAATAAAATGCTGATTATGGAGTTAGGAAATTGTAAACCGTTGAAATTCCCAACTAAGTTGATTTTAAATTAATAATGATATCTAACCTTCGAATCAGTGCATCGAACGTATGGAGCTAATGTGTCGAATCAGTCTTCACATACTTAATCCAAGATTGTGGAAAATTGTGCTCAGTTGGAAACTAATACTTTGTTTTGTGTCTTTTCGATCAGTACAACTAAAAGCAGTCATCCGTGTATGCTTCTACAAGTCCAAATAAGAGATCACTGTTACACATTGAGATAAAATCAGCCCATCTCGTTGTTGTCTAACTATTATACCGTTCGTGTGTTGAGAACCATTTGTCCTATTCATGCCTCTCCTAAAAGGAATTTCTATTCCTCCCTTTTTCACTTATCTAAAAAAAAACCTATTCGCTCATTGCGTCTCTTGCGTTTTGCCTTATGTACTACGATAAATGCATGCATTATGATAAATAAAAAGTTTAAAACAAGGTTTATCCTTCATGATAAGAATTCTGCATGAGTGGAGGTCCAGCAGAAGACCCTGCCGGTGCACCTGTGCTATCGTTCGACGGAGTCGCTGCTAGGTTATTAAAGTTCATGTTGCCTCCAAAGGAACTGTTGGATTCACTGGCTACACTAAGGATACTGCCACTGCTGCTCGGTTTCCGGCTCATTGGAGGCTGCGCCAGGGACTGGGTGCTATTCTTTGGTAAGATTTGGGTCTGCTGATTCAGATCGGCTTCACTGTTGAGTGACGATATCGATATTGTTCCGGTTGAGTTGTCCATCCGTCGACTTCGACTCGACCCGTGATGGTGATGATGGTGGTGATGGCGATGTGGATCCTTGGGAGGACGCTTCGATTCACGGTTGGAGTAACCGGTTCCAGGGCTGCTGGCCGCAGTCGTATCACCATCTCCGAAGTCTAGGTTACTGTCTATGCTTTTTCGTGGCAGGCTGAAGTTCTTGTAGGATTGAGGTCCGGGATGATGCTGGTTCTGTTGATGCTGCTGCTGTTGCTGCGGTAGCTGAGTCTGGTCTTGCATTGAGTGAATGCTCTTACTGCTACGACTAGTGCCGGAATTGTGGTAGAAACTGCGGTTACTTTGGGTCTCAAACTGTTCGGATTCCTCCATTTTGCTATTGGATCGATCCAGTGAGTTGTGATGCTGATGGTGGGATCGGGAATGATGATGATGATGAGGCGGCTGCTGATGAGGTTGTTGTTGGCTTGTGCGAAGGATCTTCTCCCGTTCTAATGAATGGTGGTGCTTACGGGGCTGGTGGGATTGATTGGGTTGTTGCTGGTCACGAAGTTCCATCGGCGGATTTCGGTTCAGGGACTGATGACTGGATGAAGATGAGGGTGTGACCGCATTCAGGTTTCCCTGCGAGGACATTCGTTGATTGTTTACACTTAAGACGGATCCTTTTCGGTTAAAAGTTTGCTCGTTTTGCTCACCTGTAATAATAACGATTAGTTAATTGATCGAATATTCTAGAATCTACTGGACGCCATATCGACATACTTCTCTTCTGAGCTTGGTACCAAATTTTGAGTCGATGTCCGATTTCCGGGAACGTTGGACGACGTACGGCTTGTTCGTGCCAGCATTCAACCATCAGTGAATAAACTGCACTGGGACAGGCCTCCGGACATGGTAGTAACTGCCTGGCTCGGACCATATTGATGACTTCTTGATTGCTATATCCATAGTATGGTTGCAATCCATAGCTGTAAATCTCCCACAACACTACACCGAATGACCAGACATCACTTTCGGTTGTAAACTTGCCGTAAAGGATCGATTCGGACGGCATCCAACGGACGGGGAGCAGTGATTTCGATTGGACTCTGAAAAGGTATTATCAACCGTTATGAAATGCATTTTGTGTTTCACACAGTTTCCCAACCCACCGATAATAGTCTGAACTGTAGATATCTCGTGACAATCCAAAATCGGATATTTTCACCGTCAAATTATCCCCAACCAAGCAATTTCTTGCGGCCAAATCTCGATGGACATAGTGGTGACTTGCCAAGTACTCCATTCCATCGCAGATCTGCTGCGAGATGAGCAGAAACTGCAGCTGAGTCAACTGCTTGCCTTCATTCGGCGAATTAGCAATCAGAAACTCGTGCAGATCTCCTTGAGCCATATATTCGAAAAGCATACAAAGTGGCTCCTCTTTCAAAACCACACCCAAAATGCACACAATGTTATCGTGCTTGAGATCTGAAATCAGCTCAATCTCTCTTTTGAAATCGGCTTGCGTCTTAGCGCTGGCATTCTCCTTCAAAGCTTTCACCGCGACGAAGATCTTTTCACCGTCTTTTTGCGTCAGTTCACCCTTGTACACCTTTCCAAAAGCACCTTCGCCGAGTTCTTCCACGAATCGCACATCTTGCAGTGTGTACTGTGGAACTCGGGCGATTCCGTTGTTTCGAGATTGCGAAGAATGTCCCTGATTGCCGGACTGGCCGGTGGTCAATCCTTGAATGCCACCATTCTCAGCATTCCGGCTGATAGCACCGGTTGAATTTTGATTAGCAATCAATGAGGTCATCTCAATGGGTGAGTTGTGACGGGAATTACCATAGATGTTCTTGTCTGCATTCGGGTGGTTGATCTATGAATACAAGTAATGTTGAGATTGTTCATATTGGCCAAACGAATTAAAGACTTACATTTTGAATATTGGACACGCCGTGTTTTCGATACTTCCTACAACAGATTATTGTAACGACGACAACTATCATTGAGCAGAATGCAACAAAGCTTACGATTATGTAGATCCACATTCGCTCCGAGCACCGGGTTATCTCGCAGAATTCTATGTTTTTCTTAAGATCAACGTAGCACCAAGGAGACGCTTGCTCTCCCCCAGGATTTCTGAAATGAGAATTTTTGAAGTGAAATTGGATCTTCTCGAAAAAATCATTTCTATCTTACCGGCAATAATTATGTCCAGCAAGTTCCGGGTAGTTGGATATCTCCCTCATCAATTTGGACCACCGCATACATGGCTTTCCGGTGTTGGATTTGTTCAGAATACCTCTGTAGCTGAAACCATTCTCCCAATAACAATCATCATCCGGGATAATGTCCATTTCGATACCAAGCCTCATACATTCCATGTCCCCAGAACTTCCCAAACCACCGATCCCATTCAGTATCGTCCCGTCAATGGAATTCTGCAGCGGTAAGTCATCACATTCTTCCAACGGTAACTTCTGGCCAATCGTCGGATGCCTCTTGGCAATCGCATACTCCTTCTGACACAACTCATTCTCCAGCAGCTCACAATCATTGCGACAAATTCGCCTTAAATTCTCCGTATTCCTCGTCGGAGGATAGTTTTTCTTGCTATTTGTATTTGCTGAATACGATGAATAGTATCCGTTATCGTTTCCAAAGGTAGTCATAGGCAGAAAATTACGATCACTTGATCTCCGTTGTCGTCGACCACCTTCATCCAAGGAGTTCTCAGTCACAATATCCCCGTTGAAATCATTTATACTAAAACTTGGAGTTACCCCACCACTAAAGTACACCTTCAGCCGCTCCGTGGTCGTCATCATCGTAGTCGTGACCTTCACCGCCGCCTTCCGATTGTTCTTCTTCTCGTGCAGCTTGAGCTTTGATCTTCCGTAGCTGTTCCCTCTTCTGGTGGCTTCCGCTGCCGCTCTATTGGCAAAATACTGATGGTTGGTCTTTTCCGGCGTTTGACATACCGGCAGAATACTGTAACATAAGCTTGGCAATGCATACACCCGGCAGTTGGCATTCATATCCTTGGATTCCCGAATCACGCCATAGGCGGCTTTCAGTCGTTCCTCCAGAATTTCCATCGTAATGTCCGGTGTGATGAAGACGGTTTGATTCCTGAGAAATGCCTCACAGGTGGTACCGCTGTAGACTTGACATACGCCAAGCTCCAGTTTTTCGTCCTCATCTCGGTACGGTAGCTTTTCCGTTTTCTTTCGACGAGTGAACTTATCGGCCGAAACCTCCGGTGGGATTAACCTGAAGTAGAGTAGAGAGAGAAGAGTGAGCGCATTAGTTCCAAACCATAGAAACTCAAATGTTATCTAATCAAATCGGATCAAACCGAGAAATAAAGACCTGCATTAGCGATTGCGTAGATTTTTCATATTACGGTCTTACAGTACCACCACGGAATTTACTATTGCCTATATTCATCCAGAGTGAACAAATATTTAGTATTTTTTTTTTTCCTTTGGTTTGTTTTTTCCGTCGATCTTGTTTTCCGTGCTGAGCACCAATGCTACCGACGTGCCAGGAAGGCAGCTCCCACACCTGGACCCTACCTATCGACCCATCAACTCATGAACCGGGGACCAACGGCTTTACTTCCCATCCGAAGGAAGGCGTGATCAGAGATGTTATGCCTCAGAACATCCCGGCGGCGCCGACTGGGATTGAACCCAGGCCTGCTGGGGTGAGAGGTAATCACGCTTACCACTACACCACCGGCGCCGTTAAATATTTAGTAGATTGTTGTTAATTAGGTATTCCATTTCGAATAGAACGCTAGAGTGCTTCCTGAGCGTTCAATCTGGTTAATCATTACTTTTTTGAAAACGTTACCAGAAGACAAGACCATATGTTTGGGTGGAGAGATATGTTGCGAAAATGGTGCAACAGACGACGGAAGAAATATTACTGAGCCGTTTTCATATCACATGGATAGAAAATTAACCATACAATTCAAAATCAAGGTTTCAAGTTTAAGTAATGGTGGACAAAACTGTCAGTAACCTAAAAACAGCCAAAAGGTAGCTTGAAATATAAACTTTTTCATTGAAAATAGAGAGTATTACTATTTTATGCGATAGGTAATGGTATTTTCACAGACAAAGAGACATAATACTGGCAATTTATTCATCGAACACGCATTTAACGGTAAATTTAAATGTTTTTAGTTGGTAGTAACGCCACCTGTGGCGCACATAGTCAATAAAACTTGCGTTTGACGTTTAAACACTACCGCCATCTGTTCAGCGTACTACCCATCACAGTATACTCAACAGATGGCGGTAGTGTTTTATTGACAATATTTTATATTGAAAGATATTCAATGTGTTATGTGTTTGTCTGTGGTATTTTTGATATCGTGCTGCAAATTGAAAAAGTGCACGTTTTCAATTTGATTTCGTTAAAAACACAAATTCTGACAACATGTTAAGGCCTACAGTTTGCACTGAATTTTATTTTTAAGTGATTTCCATTTTCATACATTGCACATTGACATGTAGTAACATATTAGTAATAACATCATATTTGTATTTGTTTCCGAAGCAAATTCTATTAAATAGAGATTGCATCTCCAGTACTAACGGTTAAAAATAAGGACCAAAAATCACGTTCAAACTATAGAATCCAACTGGTTAAAAATCTGTCAACGCTTGCATTTGGAGCTGATATACCGTGAAACGGAGTGAAGATGATCATCTAGGTAAAGTTGATCACTACACGGTTCAATTTTAATTTCTCAACAATCCTATTCAACGATACTGTTATAAGATACTTTGTTTAGTATTTCATTAAGTAACTTTAAATAGAAGTTTTGATACGTTTTCCCTAACAAACGATGTATTATAACGCTCTAAATTAACAATTTTGTGGAAATGATAAAATGTGAAACTTTTAACTGTTCTTCCAAATTTTAAAGAAATCAAGATTTATTCTGGAGCTGTGTTCGGCGAAATGACTTATTATACTTAGTTTTGGGTTGCTGAGTTCAAATCTGAAATCAAATTTAGTTCAAATTAATTACATTAATTAGTATAATACAAATGATTGTATGTGAAAAACTGTTGTTCATTTGATGATGATTTTGCGACAAAATATGCAGTTTTTTTCCCAAACCACTACTGTGGTTGAAATGTTATCACCAGATTTTTCTTCAGCGATCATTAATCATGTGATCCTCTGAATATTGAATTTTAATCTAATTTTGTTTAAAAAAAATAAAACAGACATGTTATTTTAAAACTAATTTAATGCATTAGAAATGCATTTGCAGGTTTGAGAGGCATTTGTTTGTGTGCCAAACATGTATTTGTAAAAACATTTAGGTTTATCGGTAAAGAGTGATCAACTTCCCCCCGTTTTACGGTATTCGGACGATCCATTGTACATATACTATGCTGTATTGTAGACTATTATATCCAAACCACAACATCCTTATAGATCTATTTCGTGTACATATCTTAGGCAGGCCTCACAATGAACGTGGTTGATGACGCGATGCTTAAAATTCAACGCAGCGACAGCTGAATACCCTATTTGTGTAAGCCTACAAATCGGATAAACAAGTAGTTAAGAGCCTAATCTGTCGCGGCAAGCTGCCATTTGTGATTACTGTCAAACGTGTTGCTTCCGCTCCACACCCGCCAAGAGGACACTTTAACATTGGGTGTGCTATAGAATTGGAAATCGCAAAATAATCTAACAAAACAAGTAAAAGATATAATGATAAAAATGGTTTCATGCACCATCAACAGCGACACACCAATAAAGTTGACCTTTAGAGTGATTTGCCAGTTGTTCCACAATACCCAATATTACACACTTCACATTGTTTACTGTGCAGCATTTAGAGGGAACGGGGGTAAACTGCCTGGGGCCTCCATTAGCTCAGTCGGTAAAGGCGCAGCTACAAAGCAAGACCATGCTGGAGGTGGCTGGGTTCGATTCCCTGTCGGGTCTAGGAATTTTTCGGGTTGGAAAATTTCTCGACTTCCCTGGGCATAGAAGTATGGTTGGACTTGCCACACAATTATACCAATGCAAAAATGGTACAGGCATCGAAAGCTCTCAATTAATAATTGTGGAAGTGCATCTAGAGCACTAAGTTGAGAGCACGCAATAAGCTAATATGCGATATGCAATAAGCTTGAAAGAAGAAGAAGAAGAAGAAGAAGAAGAAGGGGGTAAACTGCACCCTGCTTCTATTTAATATGTTGACGAAAACTCGTTGCCAAACATTACTCCTTAAACGTACTATATGAATGGAAGCTAAACACTTTTAGAGGAAAGTAATTTGAAATTGATATAATTGAAAAACAACCATGCTAAAATAGTAATTTCTTGTTATCCTCTGCATATTTCTCGACCAACAATTGAAATAGGTGGAACAACCAAACATACATAATGGCTTTTAACACAAATTCCTCGAGAATCAAACACATCCAAGTAGTCTAACATCATCATCTGATAGAGCAAACTTGTAAGCATGCTTGGCATGTCATTTGTTAATAATTTTTAACTCAGTTGTAGAAATTTGTTTTGCTTTAAAATAATTCATAGATTAGGATCATAGTTTACTATAAATATGCAAAGAGTAGGTAAATCTTAACATTTGAATCAACACCATTGAATTTTTACACTTAAAGTCCGAGATGTGCAGCGAGCATTTCTTACTTCATTTTTACAACGCAAAATCAAATATAGATTATTACTAGAATTGAAATTGACTTTTTTAAAGTACCTATACCAAGCTTAACCTCTACTCTACTGCTTCAAAAAGAACTATGTTTCGTCAACTATGTGCAAAGTTATTAGCAATTGTGTAGTTCGTAACCAAAACTGTGTAAAGGGCGAACACGAAATTATTGCGACACATTCAACAGGGCATAACTTTTTTACCATTGGGTAAAAATCAACCAAATTTTGCACACTTTCTCATTGATGTGTATTGTGTACATGCTGTCAAACTCGAAGTCGTGTTTTTCGATTCAACGAAAATGGAGGTGAACCAACGCGAGTTGAGAGAACAAATTCTTTCCAAACACCTGGAATTTCCTGACCTGTCGCACCGGCAGTTGGGAGAAATGTTGAACATTCACCATTCAACCGTCTCCAGAGTGTTGAAGCGGTTCTAGGAGCGGTTGACGTTGGACCACGGCAAAGGAGCTGGAAGAAAACCGGGACCGGAGAACAAAATGACGGAGGGAAAGGTGAAGCGGATGATTAAAGCAAATCCCAACGTCTCAAGCCGTGATTTGGCTAAAAAGATCGGCATGTCGCAGAGCTACGTCCAGAATGCAAAGAAGAGAGCTGGACTACATACATACAAGGTACAGAACTTCCCAAACCGCGATGAGCGGCAACAATCGACGGCTAAAACTCGGCCACGGAAGCTCTACGAGAAGATGCTGACAAAATATGGCTGCTGTGTGATGGACGACGAAACGTATATAAAAGCCGATTTTAAGCAAATTCCGGGGTTGGAGTTTTTCACCGGCAAGAGCAAGTTCGATGTGGACGACAAATTTAAGAAGAAGAAAATGTCGAAGTTCGCCTCCAAATATCCCATTTGGCAAGCCATCTGCTCTTGCGAACTGAGGAGTGAGCCTTTCGTGACAAAGGGCACAGTAAATGGCGAGATCTACAAATCTGAGTGCCTCGAGAAGCGCCTTTTGCCGTTCTTGCAGCAGCACGACGAAGCTCCGCTATTTTGGCCAGATTTGGCATCATGCCACTTTTCTTAAAGTGTCCTGGAGTGGTATGAGGCCAATTCTGTCCATTTTGTTCCAAAGGACATGAATCCGCCAAACTGTCCGGAGCTGCGCCCGGTGGAGCAGTACTGGGCAATAATGAAGCGGGAACTTCGGAAGAGCAAGAAGACAGTCAAAGACGAGAAGGACATGTTAAGAAAATGGAAAAAAAAAACTGAGAAACTGGTACCGGATGACACTGTAAAGACTTTGATGGAGGGTATCAAGCGAAAATGCGTTCAATTTTACACTCAAGGCTCCATCGATTAACTTTTCTTTTGATTTTTGAAGTAAATATATGTATAAAACTACCCTAAAATTTTGGTTTGATTCTAAACATTATAAGAAAATTGGCATGACATTTTCGGTGTCGCAATAATTTCGTGTTCGCCCTTTATGCCAGTGTTTAGATTCTTTGGAATTTTGTGTTTAAAGTCATTGTTTACGTTTGGTTGTTCTGCCGATTTCAATTGTTGGTCTAGATTTCCAAAATTAAAGATT